CGAATGCGACTTGGAATTCGATTTGCTTGATGCGCTGTGCGATAAGCTCCCGAATCGGAAGCCGATGCGGCTCAGGTTGATCAAGCACTTTCCGCGGCATTGCAGGTGCCCCAAACTTCATCTGCGGTGTGGGCACGGCTTCCCAGCTGGTACTTGTGTCCGTAGCACAAGGGCTTCGGCATGAACCGAGCTGAGAAGAAGTCGCTGGACTTGTAGTCTTTGGACCTTTGCTGGAGGATGACTTTGCTTCGTCCATTTCTTTCAGCAACTTTGCTCGATCTTTTGGGCCGAGCGTTTTCCAATAATCCGATGGAATGTCCTTGGGGCGTTTGCTGCCTTTGTACGTCTTTACCACTCGAAGACCATCCCAATGGTAACCTTCAGGAATGGGGACCCCTGCCGGCGTAGTGTCGGGCTTGTAGTCCTCGGCTTTGTCGGCTGCCGTGACTTCGATTTCAGGTTCCTCACCCCCCTGATCAGGTTCACCTTCTGGGGCTTCGGATGGAGTATACTCAGCAAGGTCAGCATCAGCAAGTGGAATCGGATTGGGAGACTCAATGAGGTTGAGCTTTGGGTCATCAGGGATAGCTTCCTTACGATCTTGTTTGACACGCAACGGAAAACTAAAACCGCCTGGAAGGAGCTCAATTTTCTTCGTCCTCTGGATCGTCAAACTGTTGTGTTCAACATGGTAGTCTAGTGCTTCCAACTTAGCAACTAGATACTCCCCACGCCACTTGTGTCCTGGCTGTACATGGTAACCAAGAAACACACCTTCCACTGAAGTGGGCGACAGCTTTCCTGCTGTATTGTCGGCTCGATTGGGGTTGTTCCAGAATAGGACTTTTGCACCAAACGGAATGGCCATGCCTTCAAACATCTCTCCAAAGCGCAGTTCCCATGGGCTTGGAGATGAGTCCAGCTGATCACTCGTGTTCGTTGCCATTGCAAAATGCTGAATGGCGAGTGGCCAGTACTGGAGGGGCATTCCGGACTGAACAAGATTGGTGCGTGCTCCCTCAAGCATGTTCCTAACTTCCCTTTCAATGAAGCTCTTGGAGGAGTCCACGTACTCAACGGAGGTTTGGTGGCGATACCCTAACTCCTTGATGCCAGCTATCAGCTCACGGGAATTGTCGGTGTAAATGACCTCGACTGCATCATCCGGGGCAACAAAATGCTGAAGAGCAATCACTACCTCATCCGAACTCTTTGACTGGGATGGGTAAATACTCCGGAACTTTGTATGCAGGTCTTTCACAACCAAAGCTACCCGTTCACCACGACTCCCTTCTTCGATGTTCGCGCGCACGACGACGTGGTCGGCGATCAAATGATCACCAAAGGCCTTAGTCTGGATGCGGCTCTCACCCCCTTTCTTTCGTGCCTGTGGTGCGAGCATTCTCGCTCGCTGACACACTTTGCAGAATGGGTTCTTGGGGAAGTGGTGATACTGGTGTTTTGCGGACTGTGCTTCACGCATTAAGTCTCCGACTTTTCTTGATCGCACCAAACGGCTCTCTTCGTCGTCTGGCACTTCCTCGTCGATGCCCTCATCCTCTTTCTTATCCGACGGGCTCGAGATTGCTCCCGGCATTGCAAACAGCTTCTTCAGAGGCTTGTCCTTCTTGAACTTGCCCTTCCCGAAGACTTTGCACTCGGAGTGAGGACTGGGACGTGACCGTCGACGCGAAGTTGAACGATTTTCTCATCTGGTCGCACAAGGATTGGTGTACCGTTTGCTGGCCACACGAAACTATACCCTTGGTCAAGGCATTTGATGCCAACTGAGAGCACAGCAGGGCATTCATCCAGCAAATACGGCGTGCAAGGCTCAAGTAGCTGCTTCATCTTGACATCAGCTACCTCGCTGGCTTCAGTCGATCCATTTGCAGTAATCAGACTGATGGTGTGAGGAGCCCGTCTTGGGTTCTCCGCACCAGCAGCTTCCATGACTTTTCTGCTGAGGAGGTCTTGTTCACTCCCGGAATCGACGAGCCACGAGAACCTACCTTCCCTTGGTGCAGGACCAGCAACTACAGTTGGAATGGTAGTAGGACACGTTTTCAACTTGATCAAGCTTCGGCACTCACGACAAGTAAGCGAAGACTCGGTGCACATAAAACGACATGAGGGCACTGTTGCGCTATCAAAGCTTCGGACAACTTCAGCCAACTGCCTAGCTTTTACTTTGGCCATGTGGGCTGCCTTTGGGTCGCTTTTGGGCACGCGATCGCTCGTGGCAAAATGCACACTGTACTTGCGCTCACGCTTAACCATCTTGCAGTGTTCCCCGCGAGCAGGGATTGTGCGAATTTCAGGTTTCATGATGAATGTGATTCTTCGGACAGACGACTTAGACCTCTTTCTTGATGAAGGAAGACAGGGCTTCTCGAGACATGGCCGTCCGGGCACACCAGTCGCAAGACATGCAAACCGATTGCTCAGGCAAATGGCAGCCTTCTTGGTATCTCCTTTTGCCTTTGGCTTTGGGGAGTCCTTTCTAGGCTTCGTTTTCGGAGCCGGCGCTGCCTTTTCTCCATGTTTGAAAAAGCACTTGTCTCCTCTTCTGCAAGTACCTTGTTGATCGTACCTGCATGGGGTCTTCGCCATCTCTTCCTTAGTCATCCGCTTCTTCTCCTTATCTGTGCTTTTGTCCCTCGACTCATTCCGCTCCCGGGATGGTTGGCGCTTCTTGGAAGGATCACGCTTGGGCTTTTCATGCTTGAACTTGCAATCTTTCCCTTTTGCACACTTTCCCTCCAAAAAGGCCCAACAAACACCCTTCTCCCGAGTAGTGGATCGTCCGCGCGATGGCGAACGCTTTCGCCGAGGATCAACAGTAGGGGCGGCGTTCTTCTCATGTCGATCACCTGGCTTGAGCCGATTTCGCTCCGCGATACGTGATCGATTCTCACGAAGGCGTTCCCGATCTATCAGATCCTTGATGCTCTGCAGTAGAAACTTGTAAGACCGATGATGGTCACCCTCTTTTGCACGATCGAAAAGGTCAATGTCGTACCTTAGGATTGTGCTAGTGCGGATCTGCCTCAAAAGGATGTCTCGAAGCACGTTTTCGTGCGGTGGTTCGGGCATACCAGCGATGGTAGCGTCCCAGCGGTTGATGAAACGCTTCAAGTCTGCTACAGTATCGCCTACCTTTATCACATTGAGGAGATCTTCAACCCTGTAAAGGCTACCCGCTTCTTCTGAGGTCTTGAAATAGTCGTCGAACATGAGAAGAATCATCCTACCTCGAACCTGGATGCCTAGCTTTGCCTTCTCTTCTTTGTAATTGATGATCCGGTTTGCTAGATCACCCTTTGCACTTCTGGTCAGCGCAGCTGCCAACTTGGTATCCAACGTTGTGAACTTCCCAGGGTTAGACAACCGCTCTTCCAGAACTTTCCTCTCATCGACAGTGTTGTAAACCTCCATTAACCAGTCCCAGGCTGCATCTGGTTTGTCAGAACATGACTTGATTTCGTCCCTCACATGATGTTTCCATTGCCGATAGGTTTCGGGGGTTGGCATATCATTCAACTTGATGTGATCTGCCTCCTTTACCTTTGGCTTCTCATCTGACTCTCTTTGAGTGAGTGACTTGACCAATTCGATCACCTGCTCAGAGGTGATAGCACCTGATGACGCTGGCTTATGGGGTTCGCGAATTGAAGGTGCAGGGCTATGGAACATATGTGTTGGTGTTTTGCCCCCATCCGCTGCTGTACCTCCATGAACTGGAAGCACAGGCTTGATAGGAGCAGCTGCCCCTGGTGGGGCATCACCAATGATGGTGGCCGTCGGCGCTTTGGGTGCGAACAGGCCACTCAAACGTGCAGTAGCCTCTGCTGCAATGGTCTCCAGAGGATTTTTCTTCCTAGTGTCATCATGCCTAGGGGTAGACACTGGCGTGTTCATGACACTTGTTGGACGGTACTCTAGCTCGGGTTCAGCAGGCACTTTGGCTTTAAGGTCATCGAGCATTTGCTGCAGGCTATAGTTTTCATTTTCTGCGTCGCGTAGCTCACGTCGAAGCTGAGTTTCCCGCTCATCAAACTCTGCACGAAGCGTTGCCACACCTTGCTCGGCACTGCTGGTGATGGCAGTGACAGTTTGCTGACAATCGTGCATGAGCTGGATGCGCAAGGAGTCCAGTTCTGCTTTTCTGGCTTCAGCCTCGATGGACCTTTCACTCTCTAGCTTTAGGATCCGCGCCTTTGCGGCGCTGAGTTCCCCTTGCACTTGGTTGTAGCTAGATTGAGCTTGCTGCCTTACCGAACTGAGTTCCTCATGATGCTTGCTCGCTACTTCATCGATTGCTTGACGAAACTTGGTTTTCACCATTTCCAACCATTGTCCCATTATCTCTTTGTGCCTTCTCTCTGCCTCAGAGCTATAATAGCATCTTCATTTCCGTTATACACTTGTTGAATGTTTTGTTGCACAAACTGAAAGTAAGCTGTGACAGGAGCTGAACCCATGGGGTCATCAAGATCCACTAAGGGCTCAGTCATGAGACCGGCTGGGACAGCTATCGATGATGTGCCGTTCCCAGGAATAGCAAGAGCGTCCATGGCTGCGGTTAGAGCACTACGGCTGATAACCTATAGAAACAGCCGTTAAGCTGCAACTCCTGTTTTGGGCCGCGAGCTGCGAAGTCAGCATGACATCCTATTATGTGCAAGGTAGAAAGTGTACATATTACATGGAGTGAAAATACAGTCCCTGCTTCCTATAAGGACGGCCTGGGTCATTCCTCCCGAAAAAACCGTGTCAGATGGGGCGTGACTGATCGGTGGAGTGAATCGATCTCATGGATCCTCCAGCGTTTCAACAGAAAGATCGACACCCTCCCGTGCGTCCCACGGTGGATCCACTGCCGAACCTCAGGTATACAGGTCCAGTCGTACTGAACCTGAGCTATGTGGATCCTAAACCAGCTTTGCACAGTGCCATATCGCAGTTCCAGGAGGTGCCGTAGCGGACAACCCGCCTGCCTTGTCTTCCATCACCTCCGCATCAAAATAGCGCAAGGCAGAGCCGTCCAACTTCACCTCGCGACGGGCTTGGTTTGGCAAATCTAGACGTCCACCCCAGGGCTTCGCTCCAAAACACCAAAAGACGGCTTCGGAAGCTGCGTTCAGTAGTGACATGACCAACAGCACAACTAGCGACGCGGAAAACGCGTCTTCTTGGTGAAGGTCACGAGCTGCGAACAATGTTCTCGACATCAGCCTTCACTTTCCCAGAGTAGCACGCGATGATGGAGAACTCCATGAACCATATATCATAAATTATAAACCAACACTCCTTGGCTCCCTCTTAAATGAATGAGACAAATAACTACACGCCCAGCCAGAATAAAAACAACAGCAAAAAAAACACGAACAACTCCGATACAACTCCACCAGTCACCAGTCTTCCTCCAGTTCCGTCCCTAGGCCGGCATCCTCGCGCGCCCGCGCGCGACGGCCAGCTTCCACCCCCCCGTGGTTGTTGGGGTCGTCGGGTGGCCGCCGCTTGTGCCAAGCGTGCGTCGCCGCGGCGGTGCTCCGGGACCACGCGCGAGACGGATCCGCCCTGCTGGAGCGCCGCCTGGAGCACGAAAACGACAGGAGCGGAGGGAAAGAACTGGAGAGTCTCGAAGAGGTGTGTCACGGACAGGTGTCTATAGTAGCAAGAAGCTACTAGCGTCGGGGTTTAGTCACCCGCGTTTGCAGAAAGTCACCCGGCCGCATGTAAACGCAGCATTGGTCAAAAGTCACCCGGCTCGCGAAAAGTCACCCGTTTTATGTTAAAACACAAAATGAACGCTCTACGGAAGTATGTTTGTCAAAACTGCTATACAAACTGCTATCCACCTACCCACGTCGATTAATCTTCAAATCCCTTTTTTGGTCACCTTCCCTCTAACCTGCATGTAAACGCAGCATCCAAACAATGTTGTTGACCAGACACTCTTCCAGTTATATTGCCATCTTGCATCTAACCCCATTGTAAACGCATCATCCAGACAACTTTCTACAAGACCAGTACTACTAGTAGCAAGAAGCGCAAGAAGTGCGGTGGGCTTGTGGGGAGGCTGTTTGAGCCCTCCTGAGACATGCGTGTAGGCTTGTGTGTGGGGCTGTGGGTGAGAGGGGGGGTACGTGACTTTCCTCCAGCACTGGCCCTGGCAAGAACGACCTCACCATGGGCGGAGGTCTAGAACGCCAACCGGCTGCTTAGCCACCAACCTGCTACGCTTTTACAGGTCGATTATGCCCAAAGCACACACACATGATGGAAGAGTTACATACATTTACAGCATGTATGACCCTAATGAAATATCATGTAGTAAGTATCTTGCAGTCCCACAGGGTGCACGAGGATGGGAAGCTCGGACTGGGATGGGAAGCGACATGTGAGACCCGGATGCCTCCGGGTCTCTTCTCATCTGATGGGTCAAACACAAAAGGTGGACCTGGTCTTGTACCCTATTGGCTCCAAGTGCCTTCTGAGAAGGTGGGACTGGGGTGGGTTTAGAGGGTCCAAATACCTGCTCAACAGGTACTTGGAGCGCTAGCGGATGCTAGCGGTAATCAAACAATCACTCAAATCCTTGGACAAAACAGATCACTGGCTGCGCCAGGGAAGGGTGACAGTGTCTGCTGTTTCCGTCTCGTCCGGTGGGGGACGCCCATTTCGCACGCCTTTCGCTCGCTCCTTTTACGTCTATCGCTGACGGTCGGGTCGTGAAGGGTGGGGTTTTAAGAAAAGCCCACTGACTGTTAGGCCCATAACATCCACTATGGGTGGCCTTTGAAATATTACCAAAAAGCAACTGGATCGTTTAACCCATTCGTTTCACGCTTCGTAACGGCCATCGAAGATGCTGCGCGCAACGAGCAGGTTCAAACGAAGATGCTGCGTCTCCGAAACGACTTTACCGTGCAAGGCTTTTTCCACCGATGATCCGTAGGAAGTGCCTTCATCGTCCGTTCTTTTATATTGATTATATACATTGTACATTACATTGGGCTCCTACTCTAACAAATCAACTCGTGTCGTACCACTTGACTGTTGATAAATGAGCCTCCCTACCTGGATTGTCAAACATATCCGTATGGATCCACATGGGGTGCGAAAATATCAACCTGTCAACATCAGAATCAACTGACACCCTCTCTCCAACATGGAAGTGGAACATGGCTCCATTGGAAGACTGCATTCCTCTACTAACCAACGGGGTTTCACCACGTTTTCCACTTCCGTTTCAGGGAGGGTAGACTCCATCAACTGATAGAGTCATCTTCTGGGTGAACACGCCTGACAGGTGTTCTTTCAAAAACCGTTGGCCTCGATGATGTCGATTTGTTCCCGAAGATCTTCAGGGACATACCTCAGTTGATGTTGGGACCATCCTAAAGCCCCAACTTCAAGGGCATTGGTGCACCCTGTTACACCACCAGTGGCATTGGTGCACCTCTGGGGTGGTTGAAACATGGAGTGTGTGTGGGGGGGGAAATGAAGAATAAGAAAGAGAGTTAAAGAGTGGAGCCTTCTCTCGAAGTGTGATAATTTTTGAAGAGTGATCGATAATTTTTGGATGTTTTTGAACCCTTGCTGAGTTGATCACGGAAGGTACTCATCGCAACTGCAATGGAAACCCTTCCTTTGAATATAATTATGCTCTTTCATCTGCACATCCTCAACCAAAGAATGACCCCTTCTCCGACTCCTCTCCCCATGTTCCGGCCCAGAACTTCCGGCTCCGTTCCTATCCTCAGGACGGTACCCGCGCAGAAACCGCGTTGACCGACGGTACCGGTCTTAGACGCCGGTCATGCTGCTGCAACAAACGCCAATCTTGCTGCAAGGCCTCGAAAATGGTCTCCTGCATCCGGGTGACCAGCCTAGCCTCGAATGAAACCAATGGGATCACGCACTGACTGGGCGTGCGTTTTTTACAAATTCCTCAAATGGAACACGGAGACGGTTCCACTATAAAAAATCACTATAACGGTCATAACTGGGCCTGATCCAGTCAGGAATCCATGAATGGAGGGGTTCGACATGGTCCATCTTCGCTGTAATGGGACAACATGGGACAACCAAAATGATCTGAAACTCCAGTTAAATGAGTTTGTGCAGGACAGTGGGTTTGGTTACAGAGTTCTATTTGTAGAACTGGTGATGTTCACCTGCCTTGCTTTAGTTTGGTGGTCAGATTTTGGACAACACTGACATGTACATGGCAAATGGACAGTGACCACAAAAAGGAAAACATCGGTGCATCCTTGTTGTGATCTAGGACTACACGTTTTCACAAAAAACTTTCAGAGCTGCAGGCGTTTCACTTTTCAGTCATAACTGCAGAGGATACAGTCGTAGATCGAAAACATATGACCCAGCAAACACTTCGTAGATCTCAGAGTAAATGCCGGAAACCCACTCACAAACCCCGCCCTACATGTCTTTTAGATGGGGGTCCATAAAAACCACCTTCTGGAAATTGTGCAATCTACTGTGAAGCCACTGTAAATCGTTGGACAAATTCTAGCCGTCACATCCAACCTCAAGATTGAAGATCTGAAAGGAACACACAGGCTGGAGGACGTATGAACTAAATTAAGCATATGTTGCTTGACCTTGCTTACTTCGAAGACCTTCTTCGATTGTTGGCACAACATGCACAATTGGCAGCTGAAAATATACCCAAGGGCTCCCGGATACCTTCTTAGAAGGTGTTTGGGGTTGAGGCCTGAGCAGGTTTTGGGTCCGGACCCACCCTCAGCAAAGTAGGAATTTAACGCGGACAGACTGGTAGCCAAACATCAATCTCACATGTGGTGTTCCTCCACCAAGGGATTTTGAACCACCAACTTGTTCCTGCCAATTTTTTTAGCAGCCCGCCGTTTTCACGTGCTCACCACAAGTGCTCACGCCAACGACGAGCTCACCACCAAACACGGCAGCTCAGTTGGCATTGAAGGTGTCTAAGCTGCCCATCATCCATCTTCAAGCAGCTGGGGAGGATGCTCTTGAACATATTGTTCACCATCTTCCCTTCCACGCATGGAAGATTGACACGGCCATTTGACTTGCCTTCACCTCCACATTGCTGCTCTGCGATCAGCTGTTCGCCCATCAGTGACTATAGTGATCTTGTACTTTGACTCACGCTCGTCTTGGGTCTCCAGATAGTATCCACAGCTTCGTCTTGCGTTGGTGTGCTTTCCTTGCACCACGCACTGGCCATTGCAAGGCCCTTTCGTTGTGCTTGACAGGTTCCCCCTGACCCACTGCCCCCACCACACCCCTGTGTGCATTGGAAGGAATGGACTTCACCGGTGGCACTCCATGGGCGAAGCCAATGGTTTCTACCTCTCCAAGCTGGTAGCAGAACGGATGGCCGGTTGCTGCGACTCTTTGATTGCGTGAAGGGAATTGGGTGGAAGAAAAGCCAACAACATTTGTTGGCACTGTAATGTCTTTGGATGTACATTCATAGCACACCAGGATTTTGGTCTTGGATTGATTGATCAGGTTGCTCGGGTTCCAACCTACATGTAATCCAACACTCTTTGGGTGCTAGCAGTGCTGCTAGCAGGGATCTGTGCTCATCTGGGGGTCTTGCCGTGTTAAATCACACCAGATGTGGACAAATCTGCAATTAAACATCGCACCACAGGATCGGAGCATGGCCTATGGCATTGATCAGCATATACTTGCATGGCACGCAATACATGTTTGTCCTGTCTTTTTTGGGACTCACCTTTCAGGCAGCAGAGGACATCGTGACGTCACTGAGAGGGCTCAGGTGCCTAATGCATGTTAGTGATTGATCAGCATGTTTTTTGCTTGTGCATAAAGTGGCTTACGGTTTAAGTTGGGACTCATGCCATGACTTGCTCATGAGCTGACTCCTGGCGCCAGCGGTCAGTGCACGGCATGGCGTTGATCGCGGCCCCTCTCGATGGAGGGAGTGGTGCCTCGAAGGGCACTTGGCTGTCATGGATGAGTTCCGCAGCCTGCAAAGTGAGTCACAACGTGTACATGCGCACTGTACATGCGCAATGCTCGTGCTGAAATATATATATATATAGGCCCCTGAGCCATCTCAATGGCCACATTTGCGGCCTGAAAGGTGGGGCAGTGAGGTCCATCAAATACATGCACGCGTGGCACAATCGAAAGCACTGTACCTGAGCCGTCTCGATTGCCACCGGGGGCGGCTTGTTCTCGATCTCCTCCGCTGTGCAGACGACGACGTCACAAGTCCAACCATCTCACCCCCCTGAACCATCCGTGTACATGTATCTCATGCAATCTAGAATCTAGATCATCTAGCTCGTTTAATGGTTCAAAAATCCCAAGAACACTAGCAACACCCCAGGGCGCACCACGTAGTGCCGCATCCCTTCCAAGGCCCATGGCTCATCGATTCGAAGGTCTGGTGGATAAAACATGTAGGTTTGTAAGTCCATGTGGTCCACATGAGATGGTTGGCCGGTTGGTGGCTTCTCCTTAAGTGTATACCAAACAACGTCCACACTTGTGAGCAAAAAAAGCACTTGCTCAGCACGTGTCCGGAGTCCAGACCCAACCTCACACAACTTTTGGTTCGAACCCTTCCTCAAAAGATGAATTTCCAGATACCTTCTCAGAGCTGCTCTGGAGCACTAGGGATAGGGACCCCTTACCTCCCAGCACCGTTGGTACAGCCATTTCTGTGCACATCCCACATCCGACTTCACTCCATTCAACGGGGGGCCGACTCGGAAGGCTCACTCCATGTGTCCTGTGGACACTTCCAGCTGCTTGGTGGCGAGATGTGGGCATTATACATTATGTCCTACAAATACCCTCGAACAAGTCACCTGCTACGCAAAAAGCCTCCCAGTCAAGGGGGACCCTTTTTGGAAGATGCTGATGTGTGGTGATGTACATGTCTCTCATCTGAATGGTCCTTGTCTCTCAAGACTTCCAGGGGCGCTTCGGCAAAGGCTTTCCCATTCTTTGAAACCTCCTGCGACGGTAAGCGATTGGAGCTTGTTCCAAAGCTATAGTAATATAATATGACACTTAATATGATATACGTGCATACTCTCTGGATAGGGCATAGGAGCCGGATGGCATGCTTTGCACTTCACCACGGTAGTGCCAATACATATCTGTTAAACAGCGGAGGTTCAACTACACCTAAACAAGGGGTAAAGAACGCTCGCAGACTGTTTTGCACGGAGCCAGAATGCTCAAGGGCCCTGCGGCACCAACAGTGAAACAAGTCCGAGGGTCATGACTGCCTTTTCACACACCCTCTATTTTAGTGGCCCGAGGACTCTCTGGTGTAGAACGTCACCAACTGGCGGCAACGATCCTTGAACTGCTCCTGCAAGTTCGGCATGTCTCTCATGTCGTTCTTCTGCTCCAACACTCGCCACACCAGATCTCCGGTCTTTGCCCTCCAGCTGGCATAGGAACTCCGGTAGGGAAAATCCCGCAGGGAGTATCGAGGTTGTGGACTCCTCAGGGATTTGGCATTGTGTGCCACGTGAATCCCAACACCTTCCACGTAGTGCCATCCACTCTGCTCAGCCAGCTTGTAGACATGGCGCATCAAGTCCTCGTCTTTGGACTCCACTGCTCGACCAGGTAGGTCATCCACCATGTCGGCCACTTTGGCTCCTTTCTTCTTTTGCTTCGTGAAGCTCTCGTTGTACTCAATCGACCACTCTCCTTTCTGCAAGGTTTCTCGCAGTGCACCATTGTCCATCATCTTCGTGCCACTGTCCACGAAGAGGTTCGCAGTGCTCGTCCATCTCATGGAGGTTCCCGGCCTTCGAAGTTGTTGTCGAAGAGCTGCTAGGCTGAAGGCGAGGCTCTTCTGCACACCAAACCCAACATCTTGGGACAGTCTGTCATAGACGTCTTTCGCGTCAGTGACTCCAACGAGGTTCACCTGACAGACATTGATGTGTCCAGTTCGGCTTGCGACTTCAATGCCTCTGAGCTCGGCGATGAAGCCACGGCAAAGCTCTGCCGCGTCAAGCCCTTCCTCGCATCCCAGCGTCTCTGCCGCGTAGGAACTGCGACAGACTCTTTGCAACCGATGGCTGCGAAAGTCTAGGACGTTGAAGTGTCCATGCTTTCCAAGCATCATCTGCTCATCGGCGAGGAGCACCGCGTAGCAAGATTGACTATGTACCTTTTCGGCCGGCATGGCCTCAGTGCATCCACTGGCATTGACATTGCCAAGAGCTGCATCGGTCACCACCATGATGCCTCCAAGCTTGTAGTCCACGGCCTTGAACTGCAGGGTGAAGTCCTTATTGCGTTTGCCTCTTCCACCACCTTGTTCACTCGAAGTGCAGTTCCAACCGTTGCTCGCTCAGACTGCAAGCTGCTCACCGCAAAGGACAGGTCGAAGCGAAGTTGCGCCACCAACCACTGTAGGGCTCCTAGAACTCCTTTCAGCTTCTTCACCTCAGCGGCATTGAGCAAGCTCGAGACGTCCTTCCGTCTCTGGCGTGTCAGCTGCATGCCAGTTAGGTTCTCATGGTACCTTGTCATTGTCAAGGTCACTCGGCCATCAGCTTCTCGATTGAAGGTCTTTCCACACCAGCTGAATGGCGGGGAGTCCATGGAACCAAAGCCAATCCGTTCACCAAGTCGAACCAATGATGCTTCAGCATCTTTGTCTCCAGACATCAACAGATCGTCAACGTGGGCTGCTAAGATGCCTGTGAGCTCGTTCTTCTCATTGAACTTGAGCCATAGTGCCAGGTCAAGACTTGACCGAATCCAGTTGTCTTCTCCAAGTTCACGGGCCAGTCGAAGGTACCACTCACGAGGTGCATCAGCAAGACCAAAAAATGCCCTTGAGGACCTTGGCCACACACCCAGTGGGGATTCCGATGCTCGGAGCGAGCTTCGGGTTGGTCCCTCTGATGTACAGTTGCCTCTGCACATAGGGGTCGCCCTTCAGGAACGCTGCGCGCACACCTGCGCTGAGAAGACACCATTCTGGGTGACCGGCACAAACACAGCAAACAACATGTTGGGCTATTCTTGAAGCCGTTGGGGAATCTGTTCTCAGCTCTCCATTGAGGTTGGCAAGGTCACGAAATCCAGGAACGATGATCCGTGCATTGGCCTTCAGCGGGAGCGGGCATTCAGGAGACCTGAGCTTGGCGTTCTTGTCCACCAGGATGAATCTAGGATTCATGATCCTCTCAAGCTCACCTTTTCTCTCCAGCTCTTGTTCCACCGCTCGGGACTCATCAAGGCCTAACACCATCACAGCTTCATTCTCCAGCCATTTCTTCCACTGGTCATCTGCTGCAAGACGAAATTCTTGTCTTGTCTCTTCATTCATCTCTGACCATCGAAGTTCACGACCTTGAGCCGCAGTAGTTAGGGCTTCTCTAGTGTCGCTGTTCGATCCGGCTGGCCACTGCAGATGCAGTTTGTGAACTGTGTTCACCTGTCGCTCTGTTGGGCGAGACCATCTTCCGTCCCAGCTTCCGTGATCATCTTCTCCATGATGGCCATTTTCTATGTCTTCCTGGGCTTTGTTGACGGCCTCTAACAACGGGTGTCTCAGCTCTGCAGAAAGAACATCTATTGCTTTGCCACCAAGTCGAAGTGGTTCCATCAACCTTCTGCGAACGGCCTCTCGGTCGTCTGTTGGCTCAGAAAGAGCTCGTCTCACAGCTCCTTGAGCTTGTTCAAGCCTGCGACCATATTCAGCCGGCGTCTCTTCAGGGAGAATATGAGGTCGAGGGAGAGTTGAAGTTTGCGGCTTGCCACTCTCAGCAGGTAGCTCTTGTCCGGCCTGAGGGTCACGACCATCATCAGCTCGTTGATGTAGAAGAGGACGTAGGTCATCACCATGAAGTCCACCTCCAAGTTCTGGGCCTCCACTAAGAAGTCCATCACGAGGTAGCTCAGGCGATCGACTCGGCTCTTCTGCGACACCAGCCAATATGGGCTGTCTGCTCAGTGGACTGTCTCCTTGATGCCAATCTCGAAGGAAGCGACGAGTAGCTTGAGCATGGTGCTGCTTGCACCAAAGCGGGCATCATCGCTGGGTAAGGGAAAGGATAAACCACCGCAGGTGTTGGTGTCTCTCCATGAAGCTCAGGCTGAACTTCTGGGGGCTCCTCCGGCAGCTCTGTTGGCTCATAGCTCTCCTCACCAATTCCGTCTCCTTCTTGTTGTTCATCAGGATGTTGGTCATCCACTGCATTGATGACATCCTCAACGATGGCATCCCAGTCCGAAGCGACAAGACGTTCCAGAGAACTTGCATGACGTAGATGCTCCATGGCCACTTTGGTCACATTGCCTCCGTAGGCGACGTAGGCAGCATTCGGCATCTCTTTGCCTTCAATGGCCAAAAGCACTCCAGGTCCATGCCACTTCTTCAGCTCTAGCCTTCTCCTTTGCACGAGCTTCATCTTCTTGCTCGTAGGCTTCTGTTCACGGAAGAAATACACAACATCACCAACAGTGAAGCCATCCCAACCGACTTGGTCACGAGCTCGTGCAACTGAAGCTGCTCTCAACGCTCTGCTGTAGTGAAGTCTCACCATGGCAAGCTTTGCAACCTCTCGCATGGCCACCAGCCTGGAGAACGAAGGTGTCTCAAGGGCCATGCTGTGAGCTGCAAGTCGGGTGCGAAGGTCCGAGGGCCCAGCTTCTCCAAGAACTCGAGGCTGACGTCCCAGCACCATCTGGCTCGGAGAGAACCCGGTGCCATCCACGTCATTGTTGACGGCTTCCAGAGCTGAAGCCAGAGCGGTTCGCATGTCATCCATGCCAGCTGCTACAGCCTCATGGATTGTTGCTCGGAGAACGGCCTTTAGTGAACCTCCCGCTCTCTCGGCTACGTTTTGCCAAGGTGCACCCACCGGCACATGGTGCAAGACCACATCGTGCATGTCCATGGTGTGCTGCACCACCGCCGCCGTGAACTCTCTGCCAAGATCCGTAGTGATCTGCGAGGGGATGCCGAGCGTGTTGAACCAACACTCCTGGAAGAACTTGATGACTTCCAGACCGCTCTTCTCTTCCAGTACCTAAGCGACTTGATACCTGGAAGCGGCATCAACGGCATGGGCAATCCAGTAAATCTCATCATGGCTGTCGTGCACGGCAATCAGGTCAGCATAGAGGTGGTCATTGAAGTTCCTGACTCGAGGTAGGCTTGCTGGCCTTCTGGTTCCAGGCCGCTTGGTCTCATGGCAGATCTCGCATTTGTGCTCCTTGGCAGCTTTGATCAACATTGGATCAGCTCCTGTGATCAGCAGAGCACGGGCCAAACGAAGAGGTGGTCGATGGCCAGTCACCTCATGAAGATGCTTTGCCATCTTGCGATCTCGAGCCGTTGGATTTCCATCTCCAGGCACCGCCACATCATCGATCTGCTCGTCCTGGTCCGCCGGGTTGTCCAGCATGAAGTTCCCATCATCATCTCCACCACCAGGTTCGTCAGAAGGTCCACCAGGTCCATCTTCGCCTCCATCGCCAGCATCATCATCGCCACCTTCGCCGTTGGCGTCTGAAAGCTCCTCGATGACATTGATCTCCAACATGGACCATTCACGCTCGATGCCTTCGAGCAAGGTCTCAGCAAGGAGTGGTGGATAGTGTCCTGCAAGTCGAGTCACCTTTGCACCTCCAATGATCGCCTCATGAGGGTGGTTCCGGGCACATCGAAAACCATCCAAAGCTGCTGCAACCTCCTTGGATGAAGTGAGGAAGGACGTCTCTTGTAGTGCAATCCTCCTCCAGCTCCTCTCAGGCCAAAGGCACCCTGATCGACTCGCACATGGTAAAGATCCAACTCCTTTGCCTTCTCCACCAATCGCCGAAGTCGTCCAACCAATCGCCAGGCAGCCGATGTGGCCGGATTCTCCAAGATGAAGTGATTCCCTGAGAGTACCTGTTCAACAGCCTTCGAAGCAGCATACTCCACCAGAATCTTCTCATAACGGCGCCTCTTCTCCAACCGGGCCTGCTTGA